GCCCGGTTTGGTACACTTGGATCCACATTGAAGCAGGTACTGAAGATGTGGATGGCAAACATGAACCTGTTACTGATGGAAAGACTGTCCACCTGGACCGAATCGATTCGAGTTGCATCAAGTAGGGCTGTTGGAAGACCCTGTTAGTGGTGCCGTCTTCGTCTGCTCCAGATGTTGTCCATGCATTCTGACTGTGAATTTTCTTATTTGCTGCCCAAGGGGAACGTTAGAACATACCATCTGGCGAGGGAGAGGTTACAAGTACCCTCTACTTTTAACATCCACCGTGGTAGTTGAAACCTCCCCCTCACAATGCCTTGGTCCAAACCCGACCAATGACGAGGCGGCTCCCGCCGTTCACTTCATAGAGCCGACTTTTAGAGCGACCGACACATCACTAACGTGTTCGCTTGCAAGATGGTTAAGGTTAGGATAGGGGTGAGGGGAAGGTTAAAATCAAGAGGATAAGGTTAGGGTGAGGTACAATGAGTTTGTTTGGTGCCCTGGCTGCAGACATCCCATCGCGTCAGTTTTACACTGCATTGGGATCTGCAGTCAGAAAAGGGGAAAACCCCTTTTTGCACATAATGGGCTCGACACACGGGAGGCGACCCGCGGCAGCAGCGAAGCCGTCTACGCGTTCTGTTCCATGGCGAAATTGAAACTTCCGTTGTTTTGCTTGGCTGTGTCAGGTTGGAGGGAATTAAGGTTATTTAAGCGGTTCAGAGTTAATAAAGTGGTAGATATGATGTTTCACAAGGTGCTGCTAGAGTTATGTGAAATCTTACTTCTGATTTTATTATAAAACATAATAATAATCAACTTCTCCTTCATGTTTGCTCGGAGATGTACGGAGCATCCTGTCCGCTCATTGGTCAGTGAATGAAACCTCCGTTGATTGGTCCTCGTCCGAGCGACAGCGATGAAAAGTTGAAAATGTTTCAACTTTCTGGGATTGCGTCGCTGGGTCGCCTGTGCACGACACGCGCACGAGCGCAACAATTCACACGCATGTTTTTCGCGTTTCGCTTAGTAGGAGAGAGACCCGCGATTATCGCTTTGTCACGCATGTCTCATTGAAAATGAATGGAGGAGAGGCGATGTCGCCTCCCGTGTGTCGAGCCCATAAGTGATGAAACAGGGCACTTTTGGCGTCAGGGGTCTGACGCGGAGGGTGGCTGACAAAGCGTTTGTTTTTGACGCGCTGGAAGTGAGAATGTGTTGGCTAGTTTGTTTCTTCTTCTCTTTTTTTTCTTTATTTTTATTTGTTTGTTTTTTTGTCTCGTCAGCTACTTGAGAAAGCTTTTGGTTGGAGAGTCTGACTGGTGGTGGAGATAAAACGGTCCCTAATGGGACATGGTTTACTGCTGTCTTTAACTCTCCCCTGTTCTAAAATTAAAGCCCTCCATATGAACATGTGTAATTAATCAGGTGAAAATTATGTTAATATGTCTAGCAGCTCTCCCTTCATATGCACTGTTAATTTCTCTAATCCTGTGTGAAATGATTCATGCTTGTTAAAGATGCACTGATGTACTTAATTAAAAGATTGATTTTGCGTAGGACATAAAAACTGCCTGCAGTTTTCATTTTCTCACCTGAGCAGAGCCTGAGATTAGCTGTGCTGTGTGGCGGAGCACTTTTCAGCTGAACCACACTCCTTCCACCCCAGATCCATCTGACCATCATACCCAACCGAGACTCATGCAGACTTTATTGAATAAAGCTTTCCTTTATTGCGATCCCAGGAGAAATGGAGATCTGAAGAAGCCAGTTGGCAGCATCCTTGCAGTTAACATTCTTAATGATAAGTCTTCCATCTGTTGAGAAGTCTTGTGCCAAAGGCAACAGATGGAATTGTTTTCACAATCTGTTTAAATATGTTGTCGATTTTTCTTTCCCTTTTAAACTTTCCCTATCTGCTCAGATGCTTTCTCCAGAGCAGAGAGATGTTTGATTTGTGTGTCGTCTCATGGGGCTCGAAGCCTTTTGTGGAACGATTTCAAGCATTTTCTGTCTGGTTCTCTTTAGCTCTCATTAGAAATGTCATCAGAATTACTATTTGTTACCACAGGAAGACTAAGGTTTTAATGAAGACACTAGTAGTTAAGAGAAGTAGTTTTAATAGGGATGATCGATATTGTACTACCATGATGTTCAAAAGCATATTTCACCTTGAAAGCGTCACGGAGCAGCAGTGGAACGTCACTGCTTCAAATAGAATCCATTATAGTCTATGGCAGGGGTGGGCAACCCTGGTCCTCGAGGGCCGCTATCCAGCATGTTTTAGTTGTTTTCTTGCTCCAACACACCTGATTCCTGGATTAATCAGCTGTTCAGCAGCTAATCAGGCTCTGCAGTAGCCTGTTATTTACCAGCAGATTCAAACCAGGTGTGTTTAAGCAGAGCAGCAACAACAACCTGCTGGATAGCGACCTTCGAGGGCCAGTATTGCCCACCGCTGGTCTATAGTGTTTTAAACGAGCCGCGACGCAGCCATTTTCAGGTGCATCCCAAAAGCGCTTTGAAGCACAGCTAAAGATAGGGCTGGGTTCTCTTTTTGCAGCAAGCTGCTTCTGGGACACGTCAATTTCTGCTCATGGGGCAACACAGGAAATCCCACATGGTTGTAATATAAAATGCCCGGTAATTTTCTAAATAAAAGTATTGCAGCAAAGCGATTTCATATACGAATCTTACATGTGACCCAACGGCTTATTTACTCCAAGTATCGTTCCAGAAGTGCCCAAGCCAGAGCCATCACTTAAATGAGTCGACGCCTTACTGGGGTCACGTGATCAGAGAAGTGTCATTTGATAAAAAACTAAAAGCCTCTTGACTCGATAGAGGGAGGTCACCTGGAGTTGTTGGATTTTTGTACAAATTTGGCCTTTTAAAGCATGTGGTCCTAAACTATTGATCAGTTATAGAAAGTGTTGTTTTCAGAAAGTTGCTGCTCAGAAAGCGTTTTGTCTCACTCTCATTACTTCTCGTTGCATGTTGAAGCTCTACTTGGAATCTTCGTGAGATGCAACCATGCAAATGATGACTTTTGACAATTTTTCAAGTGCTCTTAAACTTTTGATTGGGGCTGTATCAAGTAAAAGAGGGAGTTTAATTGGTTGGTATCTACATGAGATGTAAACAAATGTCAGAATGTTTCTGACGTTAAAGGGGTCTTATGGTGGGCTGTTCCATCGCTCTTTAATGACCGTTCCATTTTCATGGTCTGTTGATTAGAGTGTGATAAGTCATTTTGTTATCCCATACCAGTGGTGTTCAACCCCTGTCCACCATGTTCCCTACCCAACATGTTTGGTTGTTACCCTGCTCTAACGCCTAATTCAATGGTTGAATCACCTGTTCAGCAGCTCAATAAGCTCTACAGGAGCCTGTTAATTACCGGCTGATTCATATCAGATGTGTTGGCTCAGAGAGACATAACAATCTTGAGGACCAGGGTTGAAGCACACTGTGCTATACATTTACCAAAGAAGCAGCTCACCTCCACCACCTACATCAGTAACTGCAGTCTCTTTAAAACGTGAACTTTGAATATTTCATTCAGAATCAGAAAATGTCTGCTAAAAACGTTGCTTTGGAGACCAGATATTTTGGTAATTAGTGTTTTTGTCTCCAATGGCTAAGATGCAAAAACCTACGATATTAAAGGATGCAAAACTGGTTAAATTAACACAGATTAGAATGAATTGTTTAGTTGTTGATGTGTTTTTTAACGGAGGAATGATGATGTTTCTCATGCATTCTGTTAATGTAAATGTAGGCTAAAGATTTACGTTGACAAAACAATTGTTTAGTCCAATCTTTAAGGAGCAAGTTCACAGAGAAATCTATTTTTTATTGTAATTTTTGTAAGTAAAGTGAAAATAGTCTTTTACCCCTTTTTCCTGCATTAGCCGCTGATAGAAAATACCATACCACTTTTATTTATAAAGCACTGTTAAGATGGCAATACAGCCAACCAAAGCGCTGCACATTATAAAAAACAAGCAAAAAGCATAAAATAGCATAAAACAGTCACATCATAAAACACTCAGATCAGAAAAGCCATGAACTCACCCATCTTGGCTTGTGGCGGGAAGGTCATTGTTGATTTTGCATTCAAGAGAGAACAGAGAACGTCTTAACCAGTAGAAGCTAACCGTTAGCATTAGCATCTCCACTATATGGAAGAACTCTTTCAAAGTTTTATTTGTGGAGATAAAACATGAACATTGCAATGCAAACAGCGTTGACAGAAGACGTGCGTTGCTGTTAGCCAATCAGAAGTGAGATGTCCAAATATAAAGAAATGAGATTACAAATCCTGCCGTGTTCAGCTGACTTCTCATCTGGCTCACTTCTATTTCCTGAAACAGGAGCGCCAGAGCTTTTTTTACCCCATAGATCAACTCACAAGACATTCATTTATTCTAGAGACCACTGTTAATGTATTTTAAAAAATGAGCGACCGTGGTCTTTAAACTAACAACATGTGTTGTGGTGTGTCTGAGCTAGCAACAGAGTTAGAGGCACTTGTGATTGTTCTCATGGCAGTTAGCTGTGGTGGCCATCTTGACTGTGGCTGAATCCCAACATTCCTCCAGTGATTTCTGTCTGAGTTTTGTTCATGTTCATCCATCTGGTCGAGAGATATTAGCTAACCGACACAAACGGGCAAAAACATTGTTTGTCGTTCAAAGAGGAAAACAAGTCTGCTTCCTCCTGAGCATCCACGTTTATGAATAGTATCACTTCCTTCTGCCGCTGCAGAGTCACTTCCAGGAACTCAGTCCCTCTTGTTCCAACTCTCCACCTGATTCTGACATTTCTGTATCCACAGGATAGCAATTCTGAAGTGATTCAGTTTAGTGAGTAAATCAAGCTGAGGGTTTGATTTTAAAGTCTCTGAGGAGAGGTTTTTCATGGATTCAGCACACAATTGGATGGAGTTTAATGGAATTGTGTTTGTGCTTAAGTGAGATGTTTGTGCTTCACAGAGAACCAGAGGGCAGAAGAGGAAGAGGGTTCCCATGGCAGAGGACCGGGAGGAGAAAGTTGAGGTTTGCTTTTTCTTCCTGCTGCAGCAAACTTATCATAATTGTTTTTCATTTCATTGATTTGTGTATTTATATAGCATCTTCCTGCCACCAGTCAAGCAGGGCAAGGTGCTGAACACAATACAATAAAAGCACACACACACACACACACAACATAGTACGAAAAACGTAGAAGTACACCCTGTAGTAAGATAAAAGCCACGCATCCTTAAAACATTAAGATTCATCAAAATCCATCAGACTACAATAAAAGAATGAAAACAAGAAAGGCCAAAAGCCATCTAAGGGAAAGATAAAGACCTGAAATGCTGCTTCAGTCCTGCTTTACAACTCCAAAATAATGCCAGTAGGGTGGTGGTTCCACAGTTTTGGGGCCATTATTGCAAATGCTCCATTCACTCAACATCTATGCTGAAACCCAGATACCACCGATTAATCCTTATCAGCAGAGCCAAGGGATCTGGAAGGTGCATATTTCTCTAGAAGTGCTGATAGCCAGGGTGGAGCTGTGTCAGCTAGAGATGTTTCCGCCCATAAATGAACCTTGCTGCAGCATTCTGCAGTCTTGAAAGACCTGACTGATTTTATCTGGCATGAAGGAAATTACTATAGCCAAACCTAGACAATGCAAAAGCAGACGTCACTATCTCCAAGTTCTTTCGGCGTTATAGCTTATAGAAGTAAGATCCAACCACGGCATTCACTCAGGCATCAAATGACAGAGCGGATTCCAACTTCAGAGGCTCAAGTGTACCCAACGACCCCTGTTTGACTGGCAAATAAATTGAGCTATCGTCAGCATACAGATGGTGTCTTGTGTTCTCCTTTCAAAAAAGCCAAGGGCCCAGAACAGATCCCTGAGGAAGCCCCATTTCGATACATCTTCTGATGAGTATGCACCCATTGACACCCTTCTTTCTGAGAGGCTGGATCTCATCCACTGCGTGGCTGCTCCAGAAAGCCCTACCCACTGCTCCAGGTGGCTCAGCAGGAGCTAGTGGTTGACTGTGCCAAAGGTCGTCATCAAATTTATAAGCAACAGTGCTACAAAATCCCCAGCATCTTTAACATATCATCAAAACATATAATTTAGGATTTGCTACGCCCAGCGTTAAACCAGGAAGGCCAGGTTTCAACTAAAAAAGATTATAAATATTCATTAACAATGCGGGAGGGTTAAAGGAAAGGTACGGTCAGGCCTTGGTTCTCTGCACACACACACACACACACACACACACACACACACACACACACACACACACACACACACACACACACACCATCAGTCTGTCGACAAAACATCTGAACAGAGATTACTGCTGTTGTAGATTTACTGCCTGGTGTGAGTTGAGTCAGACACTTTGGACCGTCCTGCAGGACAGCTGAAGGTTGATGGGAGGCTGAACTCGGCTCCTTCTAATCCAGTCACATCTCGCCACAGCACTTCTAAGATTATCATTTTTTCTAGTAAAAATACAAAAATACAGTTTTTACTTTGAAACCGTTTTCCTTCTTTTTCAGTGCGGTAATAGTTTAACTTATTTTACATCTCATTCTCCGCGAGCCTCTGTCCAGGTTTCTAATCCGCCGTGTTTCCATAGGAACCACTGCCACGGGAACGCAGACAACGCCATTCTGCAGTGCAGAAAAAACCAAAAGCTGACGACACAAGGACCGAGTGTGCAACCTGCAAAGGACCGGGCGACAATGAAAACTTAGTGAGGTGAGCTAGTGTATGTGTGTGTGTGTGTGTGTGTGTGCGCGTGTGTGTCCTGAGCAGCCATATCCTCCCGATGATTAAAATTCAGTCTTCATTAGGAGGCAGCCGCCCGGCTTTCGGAGTGTGGGGGCCGAGGTGAGACCCCTGTATTGACCTGCCACATACATTTGCTCACTTGATTAAAGGATAATGAAAACCACAATTAATTCTCCTCCCTTCTGGGGAATTCAGCTGTTTAATAAACAGGTTTCTTTGCTGCTATTGCAGCATGTTGTCTTGGAATGATCTTCTTAGAGGAAAGAAATAAATGAATCACCTCAGTCTCATGGCACAGCAGAAGAACGTAGAACTGTGAACGTCTTTTTCTAACCTCACACATGTTAACATGTTGTCATGGTGCTAAAGCAGAACTGTGGTCAGTTTTAAGGCTTTCCTTTGTCATCTTTAACGTTTGTAATGTTGCCAGATAATAGTAATCATTTTATGACATGATTTTGATTCAGGTAAAGTATCATCTGTGTGAACTGTGGTAGATTCAGAAAATGTACATTTTAAAAGTGTTTTAATCATTTTTTGGGTCTCTAAATCTTTTCTCATCACTTTTAGATCCGTTTCTGATTCCATCATTCAACGTAAATAAAAATGGTCCCTAACCAGTTAAAAAAAATTATCTAAGTACTGACTTAGTCCCAGGATCTCAGTGGCCTGTGACTGTTGGAGACAAACAGAATGATCTAGATGGTTCTTAGGGAATTGACTAGTTTTCTTTTTATTATTGTTAATGTTCCTAAAATTATAAACTTGTGTTTGGTTATTATTGCTTTGCTCTAATGGTGTTTGTGGTGCGATGGTCCACATATACACCCCATGGTAAAGGCGACTTTCCATGGGTAGAAAACAAATAGAAACTAGGGATGTCCCGATACAACTTTTTCACTTCCGATACGATACCGATATTACTATGGCGCGGTATGGGGCCAAAATTAAAACTACTGCCCAGCAGCAGGAGGCTATATAAATTCTGAAGCAAACTACCGACCTGATTAATGATAAGCTGGCGCCGGTAACTGAGAGGCTGGCGCTGCTTACTGAGGAATAACACCTTTACCGGCGTTACTACTAGATACACTAGGGAATAGCAGCCCTCGGCTGGTCATTGACTGGTTCACACACTCCCTCTTCTGCCAATTAGCATGGATAGGCTAGCGTTAGCCTGGACTGGCTGGTGTTAGCATTGGAGAGGCTAGCCATTAGCGTGCCTAAGCTGGCCACTAGCTGGATTTCCTACCACCTTGACGGACCATTAGCATGGATAGGCTGGCGTTAGCATTGGAGCGGCTAGCCATTAGCGTGCCTAGGCTGGCCACTAGCTGACTAGTGACTCTCCGAGACATGCTAATGGCTAGCCTTTCCGATGCTAATGCCAGCCTATCCATGCTAATGGTCCGTCAAGGTGGTAGGAAATCCAACTAGTGGCCAGCCTAGGCACGCTAATGGCTAGCCTCTCCGATGCTAACGCCAGCCTATCCATGCTAATGGTCGGTCAAGGGGGTAGGAAATCCAGCTAGTGGCCAGCCTAGGCACGCTAATGGCTAGCCTCTCCAATGCTAACACCAGCCCGTCCAGGCTAACGCTAGCCTATCCATGCTAATACACAGCAGAGGGAGTGTGTGAACCAGTCAATGACCAGCCAAGGGCTGCTAGTCCCTAGCGTATCTTGTAGTAACGCCAGTAAAGGTGCTATTCCTCAGTAAGCAGCGCCAGCCTCTCAGTTACCGGCGCCAGCTTATCATTAATCAGGTCGGTAGTTTGCTTCAGAATTTATATAGCCTCCTGCTGCTGGGCAGTAGTCTTAATTTTGGCCCCCATACCGCGCCATATATTACAGCCTTCAGATTCAGATATAAATCCAATGCGATATCGGCACAAATCATACATACTTTTACCAATTTTGTAGTGTGGAATGTATGAAAGGCTCGATCAAGTGATATTACCCAATCAGAGAACAAGAGCCAGCAACAGCAAGTATGAAAAAAAAATGACAATTTTTTTTTTACCATTGGTTGCAAAAATGTGAAACTCAACAGACTGCTTATATTGAAGATTTTTAATGCAGTCTGATATAATCCGATACAGTGTTTTTGGGCCGATAACAAATTACTTCCGATATTGAAATCGGAACGGGGCATCCCTAATAGAAACTCGCCCAAACTGCTGTTGCAGTAGAGCTAAATGAGGATAGAAAGACTTTAGGTAATGGCTTTAGTTTCAATTAAAGACACAGCAGATAAAAACTGGTGTTTGCCATGACTCTACATCATGGAACAACCAACACAACGAAAACTGCCAAAACAAAAGGTTTAAATTGTAACTTCAGAGATAAGCTAACTCTAGTTCACGGAGACCGATGTTCACTCCTTGGTCCATGTTGACCTCTGCCAGTTCTTTAGAGAAAGGTCTAGGGCCCTCAGTCATCAAGTGCTTGTAGAAACCGTTCTATAATTCATCGGATGACTGAAATTCAGAATGCTCGCGTGAACGATCTAAATCCTGATTCATCAAACACGCGTTCGTCACTTGCACGCATGTTTTTCCACAATCAACTTTTGATAAATGCTACCTGTACGTTCCGAGGTGCTTGTGTTCGTTAACATCCATTTACATACAGAAATGCTCTAGATTAACCATATTTGGTCACGCCACGTCCTCGGCTCATGAGGGGAATCCCTGCACCCCCACTAAAAAATAGGAGAACTCCAGTGACAGTGAGAGCGCGGCTCTAGTTTTTGAAGCAAAGGTGAACCAATCGTGATTCAGAGGTGGTAACCAGAGGTGAGGTCCCTGTCAGAAATGGTAAATGGCCTGTATTTGATAAAGCACTTTCTAGAGTCCTGGAACCCCTCAAGGTGCTTTACAACAAAATCTGTCATTCACACACACACATATACACCCTGGTGGTGATGAGCCACATTGTAGCCACAGGTGCCCTGCGGCATACTGACAGAGACGAGTCTGCCCTACACAGGCGACACCGGTCCCTCCTACCACCACCTGCAGGCAAGGCGGGTTAGGTGTCTTGTGCAAGGACACAACGACAGCAAGAGACTGAGCAGGGCTCGATCCTGCAACCTTCTGATTACGGGGCGAGCACTTAACTCCTGTGCCACCATCGCACTGAAAGTTCCATTCTGTTGTCATTTACAGTTTACGTCTAATGGGCTCGACACACGGGAGGCGACAAACGACCTTGATCAGCGAAATTTGTCGCTGTCGCTTTTATTACCTGTCACACGGAAGGCGACCTGCGGCAGCGGCCAGCGGCAAAGCAGTCTACGCGTTCTGTTCCATGGCGAAATTGAAACTTCCGTTGTTTTGTTTGGCTGTGTCACGTTGGAGGTAATTAAGGTTATTTAAGCGGTTCAGAGTTAATAAAGTGGTAGATATGATGTTTCACAAGTTGCTGCTAGAGTTATGTGAAATCTTACTTCTGATTTTACTATATAAACATAATAATAATCAACTTCTCCTCCATGTTTGCTCGGAGATGTGCGGAGCATCCTGTCCGCTCATTGGTCAGTGAATGAAACCTCCGTTGATTGGTCCTCGTCCGAGCGACAGTGATGAAAAGTTGAAAATGTTTCAACTTTCTGGGATCGCGTCGCTGGGTCGTACGTGCATGACACGTGCACGAGTGCAAACTTTCACACACACGTTTTTCGCGTTTCGCTTGGTAGGAGAGAGACCCGCAATTATCGCTTTGTCGCGCATGTCTCATTGAAAATGAATGGAGAAGAGGCGATGTCGCCTCCCGTGTGTCGAGCCAATAAGGAGTTGAATGCAAGTTTTGTTTGGAGTTAGTTTTACTCTGGTTTGGAAAGTTTGAGTGCACCCTTATATGTTGGCTAGAAAGCCGTCAGTCAGTTTGGTTACCTTGGCAACGTGTATAGGATCCAATGACTGAAGAAAATATATACCAGTCCGCCCTGACATCACCCGTAGGTTTCTAAAGAGATGAGTATAAGCCCAACAGGCAGTTCAAACCACTGCCATCTTGGCCGCATCACACATCTCGTTACTCCTGGACAATTCTAAAATGGGCGAAGAGGTGGAACTGAGAGTGCTACTGTGAGGATTTGATCAGTTGTGGGATCTGGTGTAGCTACGAGCTAACTGAAGCTAATGGAGGTTTGCGGGCGCTTTTAGACAGAAAAAAGTGGTTGTCCGTCTCTAACGTGAAACACACCTCCCATTAGAGAGCTCCACAGACGGCCAACATGGCTACAGTGTAGCACCACAGCGTTCTGAGCCGAACAACCAGAGTACTCGGCAGCTCCCGCTCTGCTGCTTTGTCTGTGACCCGAGCTCCGCGAAGCTTCCCCTGCAGAATGGAGACAGTACAGAGTTTCTATACCCAACATGTCATATTTCAACCCATTTTTGATTAAGCAATGTTATATTCACTTTATCACATCATTTTACCGTATTTAACCCGTGAAGTACAGAAATATAATTTTACTTGCCAAAAACATGTCCAGTAATTGCACTTTTAACATCGGAACACAAACACACTCACTCCCACACGCCAGCCAACGAGTTGTCATGACTGTCTTCAGGCTCTGCAGATGTCTGTTAATTACCTGCTGGTTGAAATCAGGTGTGTTGAAACAGAGTTAAAACTAAAACATGCTGTAATTGAACACCTCTGCCCTAGTGAATGAGAGGGGAGCTGCAATTTCAACTCTTTCAACAGGGCGAGTTTGCCCCTTGGTATATTTGGGGAGCAGAGTGGGAAGAGGTTCCAGGGTCTTCTTGTGGATAAATCCTAAAGTCTGTCGCTCCACAAAGGATCCCAAATCATCATAGCTCCAGAAAAGACGCATTTTGGTCACTCACAAAGGTCTAGCAGGCGTGCATATTGACCAGTCTGTATCTGCTGCATTCTCATCGATCAGATCAGCGCGCTCGCGGAAGGCATGTCCTGTCCGCAGTGCACACTCTGCCAAATCCTCCAATAACACCAGAGCAGCCATGCCACAATGTCAGATTCCTTTCAGTCACAGGTGTCTAACACCAGTTATGTGATGAAGCCGTTTCTCCATAGACAGAATTACTGATTGGGTAAATATTTTATCTGGATGAGGAACATGCGTGGATGACTGAGACCTTCAGTGTTGCAGTTCCCCCGTTCTACCACTAGATGCTTTTCGTATGTTTAGGAACGTTTCTTCACACTAGTACAAAATAGTAAATACCGCACAATGCGTAAAATTGTTCCAATGCATGAAAGACGCGCAGATCTGTGCATGAGTATGGTTGATAAATGAGGCCCCATGACCTTTTTACAATCTGTTGTTTGGATAACATCCAGAGGATGCAGGAATATCATTTGTTGTCTGGAGTCTGTTTTGGGGCAGAAGCAGATCCACCACAGTTTTATGTTTGTCTCGGTTTAACTGGAATAACTGAAGCATCGTGGGAAGGGTTCTGGTCGGGGTTTGAGGTGTGCTGCCCTGACTCTTTCTATCTTTGCATTGCACAGGTTGTGAGAGCCGGGCAGCCACCTCACCTCACCTCCCATAAAATCTCGGGACTGATGACCGTTGGCTTAGAGACAGAGAAAGAGAGGGGGAGAGAGAGAGAAAGAGGCAAATTGAAGCTCGAATCGGGCCGAAGAACAAGACCGTCACATCGCTCCGCAGCACCTCTGATCCAAAGTGGACAGCACAAATAGGAGCAAAACATGGAACCATCCATGGCCACATTGATTTTAATGAAGTTTCTCTTTTCTATGTCTAACATGTTTTACACTGTAACAGAATATGAAGTGTAATGTTTGTGTTTAAATGGTTAATTAACTCTGGTTAGGAAACACCACATTCTGGTATTCATGCTTCCTTGTTCTGAGAAAACAACCCCAAACCACAGAGGTTCTCCAACACAAGCCTTTCTGCTTCAGTTAGGTAGAAGTGGACCAGATGGTTGGTATCAACCCCAGAAAATCTCTAAAATTACCTCAATCTGACAAAAGTCACAAAAACAAAATGAAGTGAAAATTAACTCATGAGCATGAGACGTTACTTTTAAATTCAAGTTTAACAGCAGAACTTCAATAAACAATCTACTCAAACTGGTTTGGTCTAAAGTTATGTAACATGTAACTTAATATTTACTTGTTCCTCCTGAGGAGATCAATGGATTTCTGTAACTTTCAGGGGGACTTCTCACCTGTTTACAGGTGTTCTGACCTTTTTTTAGTGTGTCTTGTTACCTTTAGCTGGTTGGAGATGGTCTTCTAACCTTCAGATGGTTGGAGATGGTCTTCTAGCCTTTAGCTGGTTGGAAATGGTCTTCTAGCCTTTAGCTGGTTGGAGATGGTCTTCTAACCTTCAGATGGTTGGAGATGGTCTTCTGGCCTTTAGCTGGTTGGAGATGGTCTTCTAGCCTTTAGCTGGTTGGAGATGGTTTTATAACCTTCAGCTGGTTGGAGATGGTCTTCTAGCCTTCAGCTGGTTGGAGATGGTTTTATAACCTTCAGCTGGTTGGAGATGGTCTTCTAGCCTTCAGCTGGTTGGAGATGGTCTTCTGGCCTTTAGCTGGTTGGACATGGTCTTCTGGCCTTTAGCTGGTTGGAGATGGTCTTCTTGCCTTCAGCTGGTTGGAGATGGTTTTATAACCTTCAGCTGGTTGGAGATGGTCTTCTAGCCTTCAGCTGGTTGGAGATGGTCTTCTTGCCTTTAGCTGGTTGGAGATGGTCTTCTAGCCTTCAGCTGGTTGGAGATGGTCTTCTTGCCTTTAGCTGGTTGGAGATGGTTTTATAACCTTCAGCTGGTTGGAGATGGTCTTCTAGCCTTCAGCTGGTTGGAGATGGTTTTATAACCTTCAGCTGGTTGGAGATGGTTTTATAACCTTCAGCTGGTTGGAGATGGTCTTCTAGCCTTCAGCTGGTTGGAGATGGTTTTATAACCTTCAGCTGGTTGGAGATGGTCTTCTAGCCTTTAGCTGGATGGAGATGGTCTTCTGGCCTTTAGCTGGTTGGACATGGTCTTCTGGCCTTTAGCTGGTTGGAGATGGTCTTCTTGCCTTCAGCTGGTTGGAGATGGTCTTCTAACCTTCAGCTGGTTGGAGATGGTCTTCTAGCCTTCAGCTGGTTGGAGATGGTTTTATAACCTTCAGCTGGTTGGAGATGGTCTTCTGGCCTTAACCCTTTGATGCATGAATTATGAAATCTTCAACCATGATTTTTTTAACAATTTTTTTCATTCGTCTTTAGGTGTAAATGAAACAAATTTCAACAAATATTTTTTGTAAAATTTTATAATTTACAAATAATTTATTACATGTCCACTTCAGTGGGCAGCGTGCATTCTGATCATGAAATATGTTGGCTTAGCTTACTGAAGTCCAAAAGGAGGGGCTCAAATGCAATAAAGTCTTCAACAGCTGTGCTTAATAGCAAAAACAAATAAATAACAATTTTGAGTACCTGTCCACTGTAGTGACCATTATGCATCAAAGGGTTAAGCTGGTTGGAGATGGTCTTCTAGCCCTTCCTTTGAACATGCTAGTCAATAATTGTCCACTAATCTGAGACAACTGTGTCCTCAGCTTTTGGTGGTCTGTATCCAGTGTGGTACACACCATGATACCACAGTATCAGCTATTAAACAAGCAGTCTGACTGACCAGACTGAAGAACATCTGGATGCTGATTACAGGACACCCCTGACTTTAACACGTCCCTGTGGACTAATTAGTTCTAGAGAAACCATCCTTTTAGTCCAAACCAGTTTATTTAGTTTGTTTATTAAAATTGTTCTCTTGAGCCACGATTCAAAACCAATTCTGGTTTTCCTGAGTAATTTTGTAGGAGATGTTTTTGTTTTTCAATTTCAGGTATTTCATTTCTTCATCGGACCAGTACCAAATATTTGTCTGTAAAAACAAACATTCCTCATTTGAGATTTAACTGTATTATTTCCGTCCCACATATTTTAGTACACCCTCGACCCAAAGACTACTGGAAGAGAACAGGCTTGATTAGCTGGATAATTATTACTAGGTTTTATTCATTTATTTATTTTTTGATCAGTTGGGTTGTTTCTGTCTGACCTGAACTAGTTTTGCAGAATCTCCAGCCTGGTTCACACCTGCTCTGTCCTCTCTGTGCCTCCAACCTTCAGACAACTATTCTGTTAAATCAACGTGATTTTTTTTATCCCTCCCTGTGTGGCCTCTAATCAGGACTAATCAGTATTATTGATTGAAGCCAGCCAATCATTGCAGTAATTAGCGCTCTTGAGCTGTGGCTTTCAGACACCCGGGTTGTGTTTTTAACTATTAGAAGGACCAGGACTCCCAAGAGAAGTCGTTGTTGGTTAAAAAAATAAATACAACTGCTCTTTCTGGTTCATCCTGTAACAAAGTGGTGTGTTAGTACTAGACAGCGTGTAGTTAGCTGTTGTAGCTTTTAGTGTAGACATGTTCAGAAGTCTTCCTCCGTCTCTGGATCTTTGAGTGACAGTGAAACTGGCACATGCTCAGAATAAGACCCGGCTCCATGTCCCTGCCGACCCAGGCTCTGTCAGACGCTTGTCCTCCTGTCAGGACTTGTCACATACTGGCCTCTTGTGCACGGCCCTATGTGCACCTTCCAACCCTCTCAGGCTTTCTGCCTCCAGCTTCAGGTCCATGTTGGTGTTTGGGGATGGGACCTCCGTGCGACCAGGGTCTGGTGGTTTCCAGTGCATGGTTCTGTATTTACCAGATCTGCTCGGTGATGTAACACTAAGTGACGTGATGTTGTAGTTCGGTAGTGTAACCGCGTGTACAGTATTTATTGAAAAGCTTGTTTTGTGCCTCTTATTTGTTCGGTGTTGTGTTGTGAACGGTCGCCTTGCTCTGAAACGACTGCATTTTCTGTATTTGTTCTGTGATTTAGGGAGAGTTTCTGCTGTATTCATCGTGCAATGTAAGAATGAATGTTTCTCCTCGTGTGTGTGATGTGTCTTAGCATCTAGCTCCTGGAAATTAGCTGTAGATTTAATAAACTCTTGATTTCTTTCTCTCCTCATTGCTGCAGTGATAAATGAGTGTCAGACAGCTAATTAATTGTTCTAAAGGCGCGGCATCGGCGGTCCGTTTGTGCGTGTAATGCCCCTTGTCATCAGTGATTTATCACCTGGGAAGTGGCCTTCGTGTTTTGTGGAGGAGGTTCAGAAGAAATCCACAAAGATAAAAGACCTAAATGAATCTGCAGTCACATCCAAAGTGACTTTAAAGGAAATTGTACTAGCTTGTATTTGAGCATCTGAATATCTTCATGTTTCCTCTGGGCCTTTGGAATCCAGAGCTAAAATATGCTCATTAGCTGATCCAATGTATGAAGAGATCCCATCAGTTAGCAGGTCAACTCATCTTTCAACACACATTAGGTGTGTTTCCATTAGCTGCTCTTCAGGGTAGATTTACAGGAGCCTCCCGACATGTGCGTGTCTCCACTTGACGGAATGGCCGTTTTCTGGGCCCCTTTCAGGGTGAGTAGGTACTCATAGTGTCCTGGAAAACAGCCCGATGCAGTTGATGCAGTCAGAAGTGATGTTTTTTCACTGCTTTTGGCACATTCAACGTGTTTTTTGCGCCAGCTGATGATGTAACTCACAACGCAGAGGTCTCAATGTGCTGATGTTTAAGCAAATCCCTAAACATCAGCCAAACTGTAGATGAAACAGCTAAGAGGACCGGGCCTTCAGATCTCCTGGTCATTTTCCCCCTCGCTGCATTTACCCTGAAGTTCCAGAAAAGGAAACTCACCTACTGATTCTAGTTTGGAGGCCGACAACTGTTTCTGATTAATGTGCAGCTCTGATCTACTGATACTGAACATACTAGCTTTCATATCTCTGATTAAGTCTTAGATTCTGGTTCTGGGAGTAAACTCTTCCATGTGCAAAATTATATTTACAGATCCCAAAAGATGGTTTCTGATTGGCTGAGAACAGATTGAGCTAATCATGCTAATGACGGCCTGGTCCAATCATCATATGTTTTTAGGATAAATCAATCTTCTGATTAGCCATTTTATTATGACCACGCTAAAGCCGCAATCCCATCATCACAGTACCCACTGAGTGCAGCTCGACGTAAATCAACCCAACTGCATAGTTCAGGTGTTGTTCCAGTACAACTGGGAAATGGCTCCAGTGGGTGGATGGGCATGCAGTGAGAGGGGCACTATCCATGAGCGTGAGGTGATCTGTACCCAACACACCTGGAGCTTCTGTCAAGTGTTTTCTTCACTGGGACCACTCATTGACCAGTACTAGATCAGTTTGGGTTCAGGAATCAGTCATTTATTATTTTAATAAATAATAAATAAACACACTTTAAATTAATCATGCAGGTAAAATTCTATGCATTTCCTTGTAATACAGGCCAAGGTAAGTACACCAGCAACAACTATCTAATTTTAATACAGGATAAGTATTTAGTTTGAGACAAATGGTAAATGGTCTGTATTTGATATAGCGCCCTCTAGAGTTCTGGAACACAGGACTCAGTAAGTCATTCACACACTGATGGTAATGAGCTACGATGTAGCCACAGCTGCCCTGCGGTGAACTGACAGAAGCGAGGCTGCCAAGCACTGGCGCCACTGGTCCCTCCGACCACCACCAGCAGGCAAGATGGGTTAAGTGTCTTACCCAAAGACACAATGACAGCGACAAACTGAGCGGCGCTCAAACCTGCAACCTTCCAGTTATGGAGCAAGCACTTAACTCCTGTGGCACCGTCACCCCACAAGTATTATTCAATCTCGTTTTACAAGTATTGGCTCTTATTCTGAGATGGATTATTTCACATTGAGATCGACAGGCGGATTGGGGCAGCGTCTGCAGTGATGCGCACACTGAACCGGTCTGTTGTGGTGAAGAAGGAGCTGAGCCGAAGACCAAGGCTCTCGATTTACCAGTCAATCGCCCACCCAGTCCTCACCTATGGTCATGAGCTTTGGGCATGACCGAAAGAACAAGATCAGGGATTCAAGCGGCCGAAATGAGTTTTGTCCATGGGGTGGATGGGCTCAGCCTTAGGAATAGGGTGAGGAGCTCAGACATTCGAGAGAGACTCGGAGTAGAGCAGCTGCTCCTCCATATCGAGAGGAGTCAGTTGAGGTGGTTTGGGCATCTTGTTAGGATGCCTCCTGGACACCTCCCCAGGAAGGTGTTTTAGGCATGTCCTGCCAGCAGGAGGCCCCCTGGTCGACCCAGGACACGTTGGAGAAAGTACATCGCCGAACTGATCCAGGAACACCTTGGGGTCCTGCCGGAGGAGCTGGTGGAGGTGGCCGGAGAGAGGATGGTCTGGAGCTCCCTAGTTGGGATGCTGCCCCCGCGACCCGGACCCAGATAGGTGGAAGAAGACGAGACGAGATAATTTCACTATGAAAGAATGATTAAAAAAAGACCAGTTTTACTACACAAATAATTAAGAACACAAATAAATTAGTTTCCTACCTTGCATAAGTTCTTATTTATGAATATTTTAATACAGGTTGTAACCGGGGTTGTTTCTTTCTTTTCTTTTACAAATAATTATTTTCTCGCAGTACCAAACGTACTTATAACAACCAAGAGTTCATAGTTACTATATATTAGCAGTAAGTATTTAGTATTAACCCACACTACTTCTAACCACAAAAACATTATAATCATAATAATCAGATATCTAGATTGATTGGCACAACCTCCTTGATGTTGTTGATCCCCATGGCAACTGTTTGATACATGTTTTAATCACATCATATGGGCCATTCCCATCTGTACCGGGTCGGCCCGGGCCGGGTAGCATAGGTTGTTTACATATCTGGGTGGCCTGGTATTTTTCCGGGCCAACCAAGGCTCATTCTCAGCCCTCTTCTCGAGGGGGTCTGCTTCAGGCCGACCAGGGCCAACACACCCACTGCTGACAGCAAATTCACACCTTCCATTAGAGCAAGCCTCTGATTGGTGGGTAGAATCAGCCCACATGGGCTTAAGGCAAGGATGTGTGGAATCAACCGGGCCAGGCTGGGGCCGACTGGGGCTACCCGGCCCGGGCCGACCCGGTACAGATGGGAATGGCCCAATAGACATACTGACTGGGCCTGTGTCAGACAATTAGATCAGCTCCATTAATGCTACCGATGCAGGACTGGCGACTTACTTTGGCAGCC